TGTGCCCCCCCAGTCCCCCCCATGGCCAGCCGTGTAGAGAAGCCTGTTGGCAGCTGGCACCCAGGTAGCCGCAATGCCTTCATCAGTGCCATCTTCCCAAAAGAAGCAAAACCCGGGTTGCTAAAGGGAAAAACATTTTTTAAGTTAATTGCACAGGGCCCCTGAAGCCGCTCCCCAACACCCGGCAGCCAGAGCAGAGGACCGGTCTCCGTTATGTCCCTTCCCTGTTCACTGTCACTCTGCAAGTCACCTTGGTCACCTGCCAGTGCCACGGGGTTCCCACAGGTGCCCCGGGGGCTGTGGCATGTGCTGCAGGGAGAGGCCCCATCCTGCTCACAGCCCTGGAGCCTGCGGCGATGCCCCAGCAGCTGATGGTGCCACGGTCACCTCTCAGCAGACACCCACAATGGATGGCCCTGTGCCACCCACCCAAACTGGTCCGACAGAAACCACAGGGACCGCTGCCGGCTGCACATCACTGCTGCTGCAAGGCAGGTGTGGGGGCCAGGCACCTCCTGCAGCCAGGGGCACCCTCCCTGCCCTCACAGTGAGCAGCACCCATGGGTTGCCCAGCCTGGGACAGCACAGGGAGCACATGGTCCTTGTCCCTCACGGTGAAGGCTGAGGAGAGCGGCTGGGCTTGATGGCCATGCTACAGGCTGGTCTGTGCCCATGCTCACCCTGCTACAGCCCCTCGCTCTCCTCGGGGTAGGCCTTTGGGACAGCGTGCCTGCAACTGGGAGAGCCACGTTGGTTGCATGCTAGTGGTCTGGCAGAGCTCATCCCTGCTCCAGGGAGGGATAACATCCTTTCATTGACCTGTATACGAATATTTGAGTCAGCGCTTCCAAAACCAGGCAGCTTCAGCCTAGAGGTTCAGACCAGGATGGATTTCAGCAGGTATTTTCCAGCCTCCTGCCTCCCTGACTTGCTCCCCAGAAAATGCACAGCCATCCAAATCTCTGGAAGGGCACTCACTCCCCTTCACATCCCTCTGGTGCTCCAGGAGTGGATTTGCGTGTCTCCCCTAGCCTCTTCCCTGCCTCTCACCCATGCCAGAGCCCATGTTTCCCTGGGCTCACGTGTGTGATGCCCTGCCGCTCTCTCCGCATGCTAGGGCATGATCTGCCCACAAGCAATGGCAGCGCTGCTGAAAAGTCTCCTGGCAAGGAACTGCATGTATCAGTGCCTGGTTTAGTCACTTCGAAACAATCTGGTTAGTAAGAAGGAGAGGAGGGAGGAAGACTGTACCCCAGGCAGAGACTGCACATAGAAATACCAATGAGATGACACTGTTGTCTGAGAAGTATTGGAGGAGCAATAACTGGAGGAGCAATAAAACAACGTAGTTTCCATCCACACGGCTGTGTCCCATGGACAAAGAAAAGGTGGGGATCTTACTGGAAGTCACATCTGATTCGTATCTGCCTGGCCTGAATAATTTCTGATGCTAGGAGAGACAGGCTGAACCCTGCCCTCTACAACAAAAGGAAAATGCACAAAAGAGAGCGCAGCTGCTGCAGTTGCTGAGCCTGAGCGGGCAGCAGGCAGCCCTGCTCCAGCAACAAGGGCAGCAAGGAGCCGCCCGTGCCCACCTCCTCCTCTTCCTCCTGCCCAGGACATGATCTGAGCACTGTGTGCTGCTGGCTCTTGGGCTGCAGCTAGTGTTGCTGCTCTCCCAGGCCAAAACTGATCAAAAGATCCATGATTCAGTCAGGTTCTTGTGTTTTGGGGTATCCGACAAAGGCAATTGTTAGCTGCACCCTACAGAGCAACCCATCTCTTACGCTATTCTGGGGCAAGTGGGTTTTTGCAGGCAGAAATCTCATCTGATTAGCTGCAAGAGTTATCCTGTGAGTCAGTACTGGCTGGTTAGGAAACTCTTCTCTAACTGAATGGAAGCCAAAAAATTCTGTAAAGCCTTGTTTCCAGCCACATTTTTTGGGTTAGTAGCCAGAAAACCCCAGCACATCAGGAAAAAAACACTGGAAAACAAAACAGAAGATGGCTTTTGCGGTTTTCTTTTGCATTGGTGTGTTCAGGGGGAGAAGGGAAGGTTTTGTTCCCTCTTTGACAATTGGGCTGGGGGGGCTGTCTCTGGAAAGCACACATTTTTTAACTGACATACTTAGAAAAATTTAAAAAATCTGTGCTTAATGCCCAGAAAAGAGGTGCTGGTACTAAGCCTCATTTTCAGGAAGGAAAACATGGCAAAATTCAGGAGAGAGAGATGCATGCAAAGGAGGCAGCATGAACGAGTCAGAAAAGCTGAATTATATCCCATTCTCTCCTGATGGCTTCACAAGTTGCTTCCCCCCTCTCCTCTTCATCTTTTTTCCATCCTGTCTCCACACAGCATTAGAGGGACAGCATTTGGGCCAGGAGGGCCATGAGCTATGTGTCCAATGCCCCCCCACAACATGTTGCCATAGCGAAAGCACTGGGTGATATTCAAGCCTCTGCAAGAGGGGTCCAGAGGAGTGGGATGCTGAACACGGGCTGCAGCTGCCAACTCCTCGCTGCAATGCCACAGAATGCTGCAAAATTGTCAAATGCACATCACAACATCTGTATTTCTTCCCCTGTAAGGAGTTAAACTCTGTGATGGGCCTGGATGCACCCTGCATTTTGTTTCTATTTAATCTAACTCTCCTGACAAAGGGGACATCCTCTGGGGACAGGATCTCCTCATATCTGGTGAAGCATAAACTCCAGCAGTACTCTGACCCTCTCCCAGGAAAAGAAATGGGGCCTAAAAGATTTCAGGATGAGAAAAGCATTAGCATTTGCCAGCCAGACACAGATAGATTTGTGACGTGACTTTCACATTGTCACTGCAGGACTCCCAGCAGCTCTGAAGCCATTTCAGTGGCATGTCTCAGCCTGAAACATGTCGCTGCCAGCGCTCCCAGTGCAAGTCTGGACTGGGTTCACAGGCTAAGGGAAAAGAGTTTTTTCCACATTAAAGACTTTCTCTCTGTTGACAGTAATAAACGAGGGAAGAGAGGAGCCGATCCTGTTCCCGCGGGCCAGGTTACTCACATTTTGCAATGCTTGGGGCACATGCATGGAAGAAAATAAAAGACAGCATACAAACATAAGAAAATCCTTCTGGGCCAGACTATCTTCCCTTCTGTGCTGTCTCCAAGGGTAGCCAAGAGCAGGTGCCAGGGCAGAGCAGAGGCATGGGGCAGGTAAATAGCAATACCCACCAGAGCTCCCCCAAGCACATGGCAGTATGCAATTCAGGACCTCTGCCTGAACCTCCCACACTGGGTTCGAAATCCAGGGCTATGTCCCACTGCAGGGGTCTGCTCCAGCCCCCTTGAATACACCCCAATCCCCCCAGCCATGGCTGCTGGAGCCATCCCATTGGAGGTGTTTTCCAACCTGTTTGCCCCCACACATCGCTATCCATGCTCCTGTCGCTTAGCACCGGTGATAAACAGGGCATATCCCCTTGGCCCGGTGCCTGCCCAAGGCATGCAGGATCAAGTTTTCTCCCGAAAACCTCCTCTGGCAGCCACTGAACAGCACCACTTGGTTTACAGGCAGTGAGGCTACCTGTAGCAAAAGCACTCTTGTTTGATCAACGACATCCTGCTTAGGAAAATTGGCACCGGTCTGCCTGCCCTTTGGCGCAGATGTCTTCGCAATCCCCTTGCTTTGGCCCGTGTCTCCCCCCACATTACAAAACCACTCAATCTTCAGGATGGTTTTGGCTCATTTCTAAACATATGGCAGATTTCTTGCCTGGGTTTGTCCAGCCACTTCTCCCCAGGGGCAGGGCTCCCTGCCCCTGGCTCCAGCTAGCTCCACAGCTTTTTGCATCCAGCGCCAGTTTCCATTTTCCTCCAGCAGATAATCTCAGCCATTGCAACCCATACTCAGTTTCTCATGAGCCCTTTCTCCAGCCCCTCTGATTTTCCAGCATCCCCTTCCAGCTGTCTGTGAGCTGAGACAAAGTCAGCTCCTCCCCACTGCACCCCACCCCACAAGATGCATCTTTTTAAGCTGCTGTCTAATGCTTCCAGCCCACCCCGCAGGGGACTGAAGGCTCCCAGGCACTTTAATTGAGGAGAGTCTAGGTCTTTGGCAGAAGAGGATGCCCTGCCTTCCTCCCCATCCCCAGCCATGTTCCTGCCCTGTGCCTCTGCGGGCACTCGGGCTGCAGCAGCAGGTCAGATCCAGGGCTCAGCCCTGCCCCTCTACCCAGCCTGGAGGGATCGATCACAGGGCTGGCTAAAGCCACAGCAGAGTCAGGAACCTTAAACCTGGACAACTCATTTGCAAGGGACTTAAGTGAGATGAGAAGCCAGCCCTGCACAGCAGCGACTGCAGCAGTGCTCCATCAGCAAAGCCAGGAGCGGGGCTGCCCGCAGCAGGGGAGCAGGTCGCAGCCAAGGGGACAGTGGTGGGGGCCCAGGGACCCCAGAGGGGCACGCAGGCTCAGCTGAAATGCCGATGAACGGCTGAGCGCAGTTTCCCCCGCACCCTGCCTTCACCCTTCAAGTACCCCTGGAAGAAACAGCCCCAGCGGCCCTCGCCCAGGCCCGCAGGACGGCATCCCCCAGCCCAAAGCGTGGCAGGATGGGCCCCGACGGCTCCCCGTGCCACCCGTCCGGAGAGTCCCGCAGCGCGTACAACCATGCGTTGAGCCCTGCCAAGGAGAGTGGATGCCAAACCTGAATTACCAGCCCAGAGAGTGGCTGTGGATCCCGGGAGCTCCTGTGATTTGCGGCAGGTTTTTCAGGTCCCCGCCTGTCACACACACACGCGGATACTTAAGCAGTCACCCAAGGACCTGCGGGGTTCTTGTTTTACACACTTCTGGTTCCTGCCAGCTCCAGGTAAGCGCAGACTTTGAGCTGGGGGGGCTGGGGTGGATTTGCAGTTGGGGATGGGGGTGGTGGTGGAGGGAGGAGCTGACCTGCGCTTACTGATGCTGGGGAGGTTGGAACAGCACCCAGCAGGGCTGTGGTGGGAAAACTTCATGCCTGGGACAGGGAGAGGGGCACACAGGCAGGCACAGACCCCAGGCTGGGGGTACCACAGGGACCTGCCTCTGCTTCAGCAGCTGCTGTGCTCTTGTTTGCTTTGTTCCCATCCAATATTATCTTCTAAAAGGCTGAACGGGTAGTTTACAGGATGCATGACAGGTGTTTTTTCCTTATTTATGGCAGGGGCTGGTTTATTTTTAAAGCCTCCGTCCCACCTTATCCTGTGCGCCGTGCCGGCTGATGTTATCCACAGCCACCCCACAGCAGGAGGCCGAGCAAAGCTGGGGACGGGACACGGCTCTGCAGCAGAGCAAGGGAGCAATGCTCGTTTGCATTGAGAACTGCTATTTTGATCCCTGCAGTGGCAGGAAATAGCTGCAAGCTAAAACCAGACGCAGATGCCTCCAGTCGCATCCCAGCTGAGACAGTGGGGAGAGCACTGGGGAAGGGGTCAAGAAACTCAGCAGGGGCTATGGGGCCCCATCAGCTGGGCAGGAGCTACTGCTCAGAGAGCTTTCCACGGGCTTTGGGTGCAGTAAATCGACAGAAAGCTGCACAGCCAGCCAGCTATTGTGTCTGCCGTTCAAAAAAAGCAAAGCTGAGCAAACAGAGATCATGTATTTTCTGGAAAAGTGACTGCTTTCTGCCAGGATAGTAAGTGCTGACTGCAGTAGCAGTGCTGGGCAGGCATGCTAGGAGACAGAGGGATGTCCTCTCCCATCTCAGGCCAGAGCTGGGGCCCCTGCTAGTAACCCCAGGGTGTCTCTGGGGAGCTGGGTGCAACCACAGGACACGGGCAGTATAATTGCGGAGAGACGTTTCTCTCCACCCCACTGCTCCTACCTCACATCTAGGTCCAGTCACTCAGGGCCTTGTCCAGCTGACTTCTAGAAATCACCAAGGATGGAGGTGCCCCCACCTCTCTGGTCCCTGTCCCCATGTGGGACCCCCCCACACACACACTATGAAGATTTTTTCCCTAATATCGAATAAGACTTTCTCTTGCTGCAACTTGTGTCCGTCAGCCATTGCCTTTTGTCCGCTCACTCCAAAGGGGCCCTGGAGGTGCACTGAAATGCCCCATCAGCCAGGCTAAGAGCACCAGGTGCTGCCTGCACAGCCTCCCTGCACACAGCAATGCTGGCTGGAGCCGCCCGCAGCCCCGGCAACCGATGAACCCCTTGCAAGCTTCAGCTGGTGGCTGTTCCCACATTGCTCCACCTAAAACCAAGACACACATAGTCAGAGCCAAGTGTGAATTCCCCAAGGCTCTTTAGCTTGACACGTAGGACGGAGCTTGTCACCGGTGCTGTGGTTTCGCTGTGACAGTGCATCTGGCTTTGTCATTGCTTCCTGGGTGAGTAACCCCCGGCCACCGAACTCTCATCCCTGTGCTGCACAGTGGGGACAACAGTGGGCATGGGATGGCTCACAGAGCTGAATGACGACCACAGCTCTCCAGCCTTTCTGAAAGCTGAGTAGATAGTTTACATCCTTTGCACTGAAAAAGCCATTTTTTCCCAATGCCTGCAAAAATTTAGGCAGAAAAAAAGCAGAGAGCAGCAGTGCTTTGTAGCAGCTAAGCAAAACAGTTGTGATTCTCTGTATTTCTGCTAGGCTTTAAGAAATGTAAGCAAGAAAATCAACTCTCCTGTACAGGGGAGAGGTCCTGTGCAGACTGAAGGCCAGGCTCCAGGGCTGGGCTTAAACGGGGCTCCATTTAAGTAGCACATAGGTGAGTAGCGGTCCAGATACAGCCCATCAGGACTTTTAGGGACTCCTGGTACCCTCAAGTCCTGTCATATACCCCCAATTTTTAGCACCCAAGAGGTGCCAAGTGCTGGGTGCCACATGCTGCACGGGGCCACACGGTTCCTGAAAAACCTCCAGGGCCCAGTGAATCAATGTGCGGAGACCTGCAGAACCCTCCAAGACCCCCAGGGTTTTGACCTTTTCCTGAAAGCCATCTCACAGCCTTGAGCATTAGGTACTGTTCTCCCTCCAGAGCAGGGGCAGAGGGGAGACAAGGAAAAACCATCAGGCATCATATCCTGTGTGGTGGGGCACCCTGAGCTGCCAGCAGGTAGAAGATACTGTGTCCTACGGGGAAAAGCCTCAGGAACCTGGAGATTATCAGAAACAGCTGTGAAGTTGAAACATGAAAGCTGAAGCGCGTGTTCCCTATGCAAATCAATGCACACACATCAATGTATGTTAATGCAGCAGGCTGCAAACAATGATTTATAAACCGCCAGGACGTGTTGCTGCTGGTGGCCCAGGCTAGATGCGTGACCCAGAGGTGATGAGGAGCCCTGTGGTGGCTTTCTAGGAGAAGGGCAGGTGGCTCGGAGTTGATGTGGGGTGCTGATCAAGGAGGGGAGGAAGGACTTGTGGCCTGAGCCTGGCCTCATCTGCACTTTGACCTCATGGAGACCCAGCAGCCACAGTGCTGGAGTCCGGGGGATCTTCTTCTCCCCCTGCGTCATTTCCAGAGGTAGGTAAGCAGCATTCACCTGGCCCCCACCAGCTCACACGCACGAGGGACCGAACTTTGTCTGCTCCCTTCCTATACGGACACCTCTGAACTGAGCTGATGCCAGGAAAGCCCGGGCAGCTGCTGCTGCACACGTGTGGCTGCAACACTCTGCAGATGAGGCCAGCTTGGCTTGCAGCACCTGGGGTTAAAGATGGTCTTTCCCTGGTCCATCCAGCCTTACGCAACCGCTGTGTTACAATCAGTACTTACCAAGTGATTCAAGCAGAGTGGGCTGTTTCACAACCAGCCCTGGTCTATTTATAAGCCCCTACTCAAATGCCAAAGGATCCTTTTATTAGTCAAAGGAACCTCCTGCAAACAAGGCTCAGTGGGGCCTTTGGTTTTTGCGGTAAAGCTCAAAGAAGAGGATCTCTCCAGCCTCTCGTGAATAGGAGAGCTGGCTCTCTGCAAGCTGCAAGGCAGTTTTGGAGCTGAGCCCCATCCCAGAAGTGCTGTCAGCAAGTGAGAGCCCTGGGGCATTCAGTACACCCCAGGGTACCGAGTGGGTTAAGGTGGGTTATCCATCAACCAGGAAAGCAGTTAGGTTTAAAGTCACGCAGTAGGGGTGCAGCATGATGGAGGTGCCTGGGTTACACCCCAGAGCCAAAGAGAAGGAGAATCTGGACTGCAAGGTAGAGGCAGGGCAGGTCTGCAGCTGGGGGGATGGCCCAGAGGAGTCCCACGGCCGGCCAAGGGCTCCTGGCAGCACTGAGGACCCAGCAACACCAACCGGCCCGCCTGACGGAGATGGGCCAGGCAACTCGGACAGCAGGAGAGCAGATCAAGAAAGGCCACATTTTTGCATCCAGCTCCTCCCCTGCCAACACCCCACAGCTTGGTTTCGGAAACACCAAGATGATTCAGTGTCAAGGGACTTCTGCATGTTTTGCGGGGGCAACGCCTTGTGTCTTAGTTGACCAAATCGGCAGGCTTGACCCTCTGCCACATGGGAGCAAACTTGGAGCCATGCAGAAGAAAGGTGTGGGACTTACCCAAGGTGTACTTACTTGTTTCGCTTGTGCTTTTGTGCCAAGCCTGCCAGAGATTCGTGCAAAGCACAAGTGGGACAAACATTACTCAGGAGGAGAATGTGGGCTCCTTGCTTCTGCCGTTGCCGGGAGCACCTAGCAGTGATCACAGTCGAAGGCAGTGAGTGCTTGGGCAAAGGACATACACGGGATACGGTTCTCCGAGGACTGACCCTTCGCTTATACACTGAAAAGCAAACCAGCAAACAGTTCAGCCGTGCTCAGGAACAACATGACTAACTGTTTATGCCTATGCCTGATAACATTAAATATTAGTAAAAACAAAGCAGCTCACCTGCTCATCGCCAGCTTTGCGTGATGTCTGCCCATGCTGCTAGGAGGAGGACCAGGACATTGATCAGGAGGGAAAATGGGGTGATTGCTGGGTCCAAGCCCATGCTCCCAAAAGATCCTGCATCCTCTGGTTTGTGATTCCCCTGCACAAACTTGCCTGGTGGCTGGAGAGAATTAAAAAAAAAAAAACAAACCACTAGGCTGGATGCCAGATACTGTCCCCTCACCCAGAAGATAAATAATGTTTTTTAATTAATGTCTTTAAATTAACTCCCCCCAACATGCCCATTGCTGTGACCTCACTCCCAAGTGACGCCAAGGCCTAAATACGGCTGTAAACAGGAATCGTCCCCACGGGAGTCAAGCTGGCTATAAATACAGCAACAGGGGAGTGCTGAGCAGAGGACAGGCTGCAGTTTCCTGCCAGCAAGGGATGGTGAGACAGCTCAGCTGGGTGCTGTTGGTGTGCAGTCGCCACAGTGGGGAAACTGAGGCAGGAGCTTCTGGGGGGCTGGGGCTCCTGGCTGAGCTCCCCAGCATGCGTTTGGGAAGGGAGGTGTGCCCTGCCACGGCCAGAGGCCACTGGGGAGGGGGAGCTGGCAGGGATGGGAATGGCAAACCTGGGGCTCAGCAAGTGTGGCCCCACTGGCCACTCCCAGCTTGGGCAATGACACTGGCTCCTCTCCTCAGTGCCTGGCCCCATAGCCCTGCCCCAGGAGGAGATGGCCACGGAGAAGCCAGTGACTCCCACTGAGGAGCAGCTGGAGATCCTGGAGTACAACTTCTGCAAGGTGAACAAGCACCCTGATCCCACCACACTGTGCCTCATCGCAGCTGAGACCGGGCTCTCCGAGGAGCAGACCCTGGTGAGTGTGCGTCCCTTGCCCCCACCTTGGCACCAGCCCTGCTCCCCCTGCATGCCTCTGTGCCCCACACACTCTCCCTGCATCTCCTGCCTGTCCTGTCCCTGGCTATCGTACCCCCTGCATCCTTCTGTCCCCCCACATGCTTCCTACTGTTCTCCCTGCACCTCTCTGTGCCCCGTACGCTCGCTACTTACACTCTCTGCACCATTCCACACCCCACATACTCCTTACTGCACCCCACGCTGCACCCACAAGTCTCCTCTGCACATCTGCAACCCTCAGTGCACGCCCAAGCCCACACTGCACCCACAGAGCTCTACTGCACCACCGCACCTCCCTGCACCCCACCCCTTACCCTGTAATTGCAGCCCCTTCATCCCACAGCCGTGGCCTCCTGCATAGCAGCCCTGTGCCCCACTGGGATCCTTGCGCCTCCCCTGCCCAGGAGCCCCATCCCCAGCCTGGGTTTGGAGACCAGGCTAGTGCTTCCCACAGCCAGAACAAGGGCACACGCCGAGGGTCACTGGCTGGCTGTGGAGCCCTGAATATACAACCCGTGCATGCTGTCCTTTCCTTCCAACTCATTTCTGATAGTCTCGGGTGCCCAAACCACTGCTGGCTTTACGGTCTGAAGAAACTACAGTCATTTTAATAGTCTCAGGTGCTGAAACCACTGCTGGCTTTATCGTCTGAAGAAACTACAGTCATTTTAAAATAGATGCAACTCCTGCAGATGTGCTGTGGCACATGCTGTGGTTGAAACCTGGGCATGAGCCAACAATGTGCGCTTGCAGCCCAGAAAGCCAACCATATCCTGGGCTGCATCAAAAGAAGTGTGGCCAGCACAAGGGAGGTGATTCTGCCCCTCCGCTCTGCTCTGGTGAGACCCCACCCGCAGTACTGCGTCCAGCTCTGGAGCCCTCAGCACAGGACAGACATGGACCTGTTTGAGCAGTTCCAGAGGAGGGACACAAAAACGATCAAAGGGATGGAACACCTCTCCCATGAAGAAAGGCTGAGAGAGTTGGGGTTGTTCATCCTGGAGGAGAGAAGGCTCCAGGGAGACCTTATGGCCTTTCAGTACTTAAAGGGGGCCTATAGGAAAGATGGGAACAAACTTTTTAGCAGGGCCTGTTGCAATAGGACAAGGGGTAACGGTTTTAAACTAAAAGAGGGTAGATTTAGACTAGATACAAGGAAGAAATTTCTTGTGATGAGGGTGGTGAAACACTGGAACAGGTTGCCAGTTCCATAGAGGCGGTAGATGCCCCATCCCTGGAAACATTCAAGTTCAGGCTGGACGGGGCTCTGAGGAACCTGATCTAGTTGAAGATGTCCCTGCTCATCACAGGGGGGTTGGACTAGATGACCTTTAAAGGTCCCTTCCAACCCAAACCATTCTATGATTCTATGATTCTATGCTCAGGCTGTGCACACTCCAGCTCACTGCAATTAGCTAGTTCAGCATCCCCAAGCCCAGATGTCAGGCAAGTTTGTCAGCCTCTCCAGGAGACATAGAGGCCTCCAAATTTCCCTCCACAGGGACAGGCTGCCACTGTCTGGGACGTCCACCAAGACCTGTGCTCCATCTGGCTACCTGCAGGCTACCCTGGGCTTCAAAAGCAAACGGCTCCTTCCCAATTCCTTCAGGCTGTGGTGCAGCCATTTTTGATGCAGGTGTTTTATAAGCTACTAGACCCATAGCAGCATTGATGGGTATAGAGAAGAAATCCAACCCACTGAAAAGTTAGCAGCATTTTTGCAGAGAGCTGCCAAGCCTGGCTCTCCCTAGGCAAAGCCAAAGGGATATGAGAGCCGATCAGGCAATGCAGGCATTTAGGCTGTCCTAGGGAAGGATGCTGGTACAACATCCATTGCACTGATAGTCTTTGGCTGGAGTAGAAAAGGACACCCCTCCTCTACTGTGCTTTGGTGACAGGCAGGTACAACATTGCACGGCTTGTTTCAGGCAGCAAGGAGGCAGTACCCCTGAAATACCTTTTCCTCCTTAGAAACGGCACTGCTCCATTTTTTTTCCTAAACCAAGTTGTAAACACAGGCCATATATGTCCAGGACACCTCTGGAGGCGTCTTAAAATCTTTCCTGATAGCCATCTTTTTCCACAAATCCAGGGTGCTCCTAGAGATCTGGAGATGAAGGTCATGTTAGGGACAGGATCAAGACTGGGATGGTGAGCTGCAAAGTGCCTGCATTGCGTATGACACAGAGAATCATCGCTCCTGACATCTGGAGTGCTTTATTGGCTAGATATAGAAGCCATTTTAATAAAAAAAAAAAAGTAAAAATGAGATGCAAAGAGGTACTGAGTCAACAGGAGACAATGGTTTAGGATAGGAAGTGAAATTTTTGGGAGGAGGCTAGGCAGGCAATCATCTGACTGGACGTGGTCCAAGGCAGTGCTAGTGCAAGAGCCGCTTGTAGAGAGCACCCTGTGGTTGTATCATTACAGACCACAATAGCTTCAAAAATAGCCATGAACAAATATAGCAACAAAATGAGCACCAACAAAGCAAATCACGGGCATATTCCCAAACAAAAGGCTGAGCTGTGCTTCCGGCACACATGAGTTTTATCTCATCTTACAGAGGTAGTGTGGCTTTATCCAGCTGCATTTTATCTAACATTTGAAATTGTGGCTGTGTTGAAGTAGCATCAGCAGCTCTGGGAGTTGGCTTAGAGATGCCAAGTTACTACAGAATCACGTAGCCATGCATATTGCTTGAAGACTAATAGAATTTTTAACCCATTTAAAAAATCTATTTGTTCTTAAATTTGCTGAGAGCCACTGTGTTGTCCCTCTCATCCTTTCTGAAGTAGTTCAGCTTTTGATTCCTGTCATTTTTGGACCTGCAGTGATTGTTTTACTGCTCCAGCCATTTAAACAGACACCATCCAGCAGCTCCTTAGCCACTCTCTTACTGTGTTTGCAAGAAAAACCTGGACTCACAGCAACAAAATGAGGACTCACCCATGCTGTCAAGGTCTGAAGCAAGCGAGAGAAATGAGTTGGAAAGAGGTGCACACATAGGTAACAAGACTGTTTGGTCAGGAGCAGCTGTCCTGCTGCCTGTACTGCCTGGGAACAGTGCAGTGCCTTGCTACAAGACAGCAGTGCCATGAGTTTCTCTCGCGTGGTCCCAAGTGCTGACCACCTCTGCACCTTTAGCAAAGTTATTCAGAGGGTTTACTCAGCCCAGTGCACTCAGTCTCTGGTGTTTTGGGTTTTTTTTCCTCCAGAAATGGTTCAAGCAGCGCCTGGCAGAGTGGAGGAAGTCTGAAGGGCTGCCCTCAGAAAGCGGGTCTGTCAGAGACTAGAGGATGCTGCTCCGATCCCCATGCCCGCTGTAAATGATGGTGAAGCTCTTCAGAGTGGGTTTCCTTGGGATTCTTCTGTTGCAATAGGTTTTGAGATACAAAGTAATACCCTGCTATTTAACATAATTTTTATTTAAAGTGTACATAACCAGAAAAAAAAGTATTATATATATATGTGTGTGTATACAGCTTCTGATGGCTGCATAACCTGTCTAGTGATTCCCATCCATTAACAGCGGCTGCACGGGGCAAAGCAATCTCATGCCCTTGTCCCAGGCTTGTGGAAAAGCTGCCGTGAAAGGTTCAGACATAGAAGGGGGAAAAAATATTTCTTTTCTTTGTGATCCCCAGAGGCAAAGTACGTGTGCTAGCTTTCATATACAGATCACCCAGAGAGGAGGGCACCTGGAAAACCAGATGTGTTGTTCAGGTGATCTTGGTTAGCTCGATGCCTGAGTCAGCTCTGGATATTGGCAAACCGAGGGCCTACACCATAATCAGACCAAGCCAAGCCCCACTTGAATGCATTTCTCACATTTCTGTTAAAGGTCACCAAAGGGGAAGAACTGGTCTTTCCCCTGCCCCCCCCCCGCCAATGCATTAATAAAAAAACCAAAGTTTTTTGATGAGAGGATCTGTGTTACGTCCCTGCTTGCGCTCCCTGCCCCAGTGGCAGGAGGCAGACTCCTCTGGGAGGACAACCCTCCTCCAAGGCAGCCTCAGTGCGCTCCGTGGGTTTTTCCCTCTTGCCAGAGGGACAGCCCGCAGACACGGGCAACCTCCTCTTCTAGGGCACCCACGGGTCCATCCCTGGCAGCCCGCACAGCCCAAGCCCCGAGGTGGCAGAGGCTGGTGGTGCTGGGGTTGCCCGGCGGGGTTGGGAGGGCAGAATCCCAGCCTCCTTCTGGCCATCCTCAAGCCCGAGGGATGCAGCTGTGCATCTTGCACAAAGCCCAAACTCTCACCCATCCTGGTGCAGGACAGCGCGTGGGCTAAAAAATAACCAGCACCGTTGCCCAGTGACCTTACCTTGTTCAAAAGGGTTCAAAAATCCTCTGCTTAGTGGATTATTGAATCAATTAGTGGATCCGCTCATTAATCCTCTTCTGGTTTGTGGTCACCTGCCTCTACTCCTTTGGAAGGAGAATCAGCTTAACACGGGGAAGATTAAGATACACTGGCACTGAAACTGCCACATGCTTCCATTTATGGCTTTTGTCCCTTGCCGGAGAGCATCTCTCTTGCCTCAGTACCTCCAGCCCATCGCCACTGGTTACGTTGCCAGTGCAAAGCATACCAAACTCGCAGGAAACAGATAAAAGCAATCTCCCTGTACTATGTCCTATACAGGCTGTGTTGTTCCCCTGCAATCCAGCTGCCAAACTGACTCACCCTCAGACCCGACTGGAGCTCAGAGTTTGTTCTGCAGAGTCTGGCACCAATATCTGTTTTCTTCTTGGTCTTCGCAACATGCCTTCTCCCTTACGCTGAGGGGAACTCCGCTTTTTTGAGTTAGGCTCCAAAAATCCCAACGCAGAGTTCCATTATTTTGCCCAGAGTCAGACAACTGAATATCTGAACCACACAGATTTAACCCATCGGTGTAACCTGTATCAAAGATGCATGCAAAGCAAAAAGGCTGGATCTGCCCGTTCTCCAGGCACTTAAGAAAACAGGCCCCAAATCCAAGCCAACTCAATGCACATGCCACCCCAGCATTTCCAAAGTCTGTACTAAAGCTTTGCACCCTATGAAATCCAGGCCTGTATCTGGAATTTTGCAGCCTTTTGTGTTTCTACTTCTCTCACAAGCACAAAACTTTGAGTGTCACTAAGAATATCTCTAAACTTTAGCAAAAATTTTGAAACCCAAGGTCAGGAGTTGTGTTGCATCACCTACAGCATGCCGTTGGCTTTGGTTTGCCACACTTATTTATGTGAAAGAACAGTTCCTGTGCTGGCTTCCCCCAGCAGTTGTTTCATTACTTCTTTAACTATTGCAGCAAAAAAATAAGAAGAGTGATAAACTCCAGACATAACCCATCCTAGGGAGAGAGGCTTCCCACATTAGGTCAAATTCTGCTCGCTTCCCCTGGTGACTATTTTGTTCTTAAGGAATGACTATTTTATTTAACTCCCCAGATAAGCCCAGTAAAAGCGGCTGCTCGTAAGAAAATGTTCCTGCTGGGCGCTGCTTCTGCGTCGTGTTCAAGCAGGTTTTCCAGCCACAGCACAGCCCGAAGAGGGTGATGTTCCAAGGGGTGATGGGGGCGGCCGGCACGAGCAGCGGGCTGTTTCTGAGGGAGCTCAGCGCTTAATCGGACGAGCCAGGTCTTGGATCCGAGCAGAACAAGTTGCCTTCTTAGCAGCCTCCTTCACTGTGAACACGTCTGGGTTGAATTGAGCAGCGCCCATAGGAGGCCTGGGAGAGCGAGGACGGTGACAGTCAATTCCAGCTGGAGCAGGGCCAGCTCCCAAAGCTGCCTGCCGGCTGACACACCTCCACCTGAGCCCTGCCCTTCCCTGTTAAAGGAGGACAAAAGCAGCCATGCCTCCGCTGCTGTCACCAGGACACCAGTGAGAGGAGGTGCCCCGTCTCTCACTGAAGCTGGCACAGCCGCTACAGCCAGGCATTCCCTCGCCCTCTGTGAAACATCCTAGCCACCATTTCCTGCAGCCCAGGCTGAGGCCAGCTGCATCATGCTGGGCAACACGAATGTGCCACTCCGTGCCATGTGTCAGCTGGTTGCTTTTTAGTTAATAATTGAGAAGTCCCAAACAGTAATTTCTAGTGGAATTAGAAAGTTCCTGTTTCTTCTCTTTTGGTTCTCCTTCCACCTCAGAAATACTTTTTAAAGCACGATCCATGCAGCATTAGCAAATCCAGCCATATAAAATCCATGCATTTTGGAAGTGGAAGCATGATTAAGTGGCTTAATCACACTGGCCAAACCCAAATCAACAAGGTGCCATGGCCTGCACAAAATGGGCTAACAGCTGATCGTTTCTGCATGACAGGGAAGCAGCACCTACCTTTTGCAAGGCTGGGCTAGTTCCACGAGCCTTGGTGTGGCCACTGCGTGCTTTGCAGCCTCCGTCACTGGCCACTCAGCATCCCGCAGGGGCACATAGTCAGGATGCAATCTTTTTGCCCTAGCCAGCTCCAGAATCCGAGGGCTCGCAATTGCCTCCTGAGCCAACTTGGAAACCTGTGGAAGAATGGGAAGGAAGGTCCTTAAGGTGCTCCTGGCATTCAAGGGTGACCAGCCCGCAACTCAGTGTACCCAGGTTCACAGCCACTGACCATGCACAGATGGGACATGATCCTGTGCACAGTTGTGTCTGGCACCAGACAAGCTGTGGAAGGAGAAACCACCGCCTGGCCAGTCCCACAACCTGCCCTCCAACCTCCTCCTACTCATAGCCCTTTGTCCAACCCAGCCCCCAGTGCTGGAGATCCCAATTAGATACTCTCCCCATCCCCACAACTGCAGGCTAGGCACAGGTCTGCCCTTCTCTGGGGATGTCTGCTGGGACATCCATGCTCCGGGTGGAGGATGAGTCCTGCTATCCAGCCCAGGAAGCAGCGACGTCAGCCTCACAGACAGCAGCACATCCAGGGCTGCCATGAAGACAGCCACCAACAACTGGGCACTCACTGCCCTCCGCTCTGCCCGGCATCCCTGCCATGCCTGGTCCCGGGTGATGCCACCTTACCGGATGGATGACAGATTCGAGAAAGCTGTGCTCATAGAAGCAGGTCACCTTCCTGATCCGGGGCTCTGCCAGACGCTGTAACCGCGAGGATGCTCTGGCCAAGGCTGCGACATTTGTCACCCGTGTTGGCACCTGCGTGGGTTCAGAGTGGGGGAGGGATGTGCAGACACAGAGCTCATCCACTGCAGCCCACAGGGACACATTCCCTCTCCAAAGGGATGAGCATCCAGCACCCTTTCTCTACAGACGCGGTCACAAGAAGGAGCATTCTTACTTTCCCAGCACCCATTATGTTTCTTTCTCCTGAACTACAAGGTAATTTTGACGCTATTGGGATTTGTACGTCTTAGCCCATATTACTTTTTTCCCCAACTGTCACCCACTTGTAGCTGGGAGAGGAATGCCTGTAATGAGAGCCTGTGTAGCCGGTAAAAGTGCACAGAAATTTCCTCCAGAGTAATGTTTTTCATATTGATCTTCCTGGCTGAATCAAATAATTTCCTTGCTAAGGAGAGACGCTCAGGGCAGAAGTGCTAGTGCAGTTAACTGCATTCCTACCACAAAAGTGATTACTGCTCCAGCATGGGACTTCTTCCCCTATTTTTCACAGGGTTACTGATGCCAAGGCCCGCTCCAGCACAGCCTCCCTTATTTCTCAGGCCAGAGACTGCAGCCAGAAAACTTAGCCTTTGCCATGGAAATGACTGTGATCTGAGATTACCCCAAGCCCTTTCACCCCTGCCAAAGCAAAGGCCCGCCTACAAGGAGCAAGTTCAGAAATACATGTCTAAATTAGGCTTCTGGTAAAACAGAGTTAAAATATACATAGTGTTTGCAGGCTCATCCCCCCTATATACACAGATAAGAGCAGAGCTGCCCAACTGCAAACACAACTGTACTCCCTAGGAGCTAAACAGGCCATTCCCATCAGGTTTCTCCACTTTCCCAGGCTGCTTTATCAGGGGATGCAGCCCAGATTCCTCCCTTGGCTCTCCTGCTATTCTAGGCTGCTCCAGCCAGGCTGTTTTCTGTCCCTCAGCCAGGGCACATCCAGGGGCAGGACACAGGGTGTAAAAGCTCAGGACAGCTTGCTGCATCGCTGTCCCCTCCAAATCTCACTCAACCACCTCCTCACCTCTCTGGCCAGCAGGAACTCTGGGTGCAGCACCTTTGGCCGTGCAAGCTCCAGGATCCGTGGAGAGGCCTTATAGCTCAGTGCAGCTGGCGACACGGGCCACTCAGGGGACTGGCGAGGTCTGGAAGCAGAGAGTCACGGCACCGCCACTCACAGACGTTCCCCCACACTGGTTAAACCAGGCTGCAGCTGGGATGTTTAAGCCTCATGTTTGCCAGAGCAGAAGGCAGCTTTGTTTCCAGTGTAGAACCCACTCATGCCATCAGTCCGGAGGTCCTAATAGCAGCAGAGTCCCTGCTCTGCATATTGCCCTCTGTTGTACCCATCCTCTGTTCCTCTATTGCTTACTTTGAAGCTGCACTGATGCTACGAGACCCAAGGGCCTACCTATAGCACCCTACGGGCTTTCTGGCCTCTCACCTTTGCTGCAGGTAGGCAGCCGGGTATTTTTTAGGTTCAGACA